AACTTTATCAAAAACTAAAAATAAACACATATTCGTGATCAGCGTGAAAAACTGAATCTAGAAATCTATGTTTAAGCTAAAACAAAAAACTGCTCTAATTTTGAATTAGCAGCGCCTTATGTAAAATCTTTTTTTTTCTATTATATCCTTACTTGGATATAGATTAGGCGAAATTTGCTAATATAGTACAACAATGAATAATGTTTACAGCAAGAAATATCTAGTGTGTGTACTGTGAATAATATTTGAAGAGTTAAATGATATTCTTTTATTCTTTGTTCTATTTTTGATTATTATCTCATATGAGTTTTTCTTAATAATTGTGTTTCATTACAAAGATAAAATCGAAAGATTATAATTTTCTTTTTTTTTTCACATTCAGAATTATTTTTTGTTTTGAATTAAACATTTACATATCTATACTAAAGATTAATTCTTTAACTTGAAATGGTTTATGATTATCATAAAATAAAATCATACTGTTGTTTTTTCTTTCTTTCGGTTTTTATTTGTCAATATATACATTTTCACATATACGCTCATTTAACAATCATTATGAAATATTTTATCGTTTTGTCAATTTAAATATGATCTTAGAAAATTATTGAACAACTTGATGCAATATTGAACACGAACATTAGAAAAATAAAAATCAATAGACACATCAAAATGTCATTACATTGCTTCTAAATGCTTTTATTTTTTTTCCAATCTTATTCATGTAACTTTGTTATTCAAATCAAGAAAAAATATACATATTTGAGCATTTAAATTCTTCTAGCTTGTCCCATCAATTCAGTTCGAATGAGATTTATCCTCGTGTAATATAGAATCATTAATGTAAGTAATACAATTCTTTTTAATATACATGATATCTTTGAACTAAGTTATTTTGGTGTCAACTAAAATTACAATATTTTCATTGACTTCATTATGATATTTTTGCTTATTCATTGATATAAATATTTTTTGATGTGTTCTATGGGAATAGACATATTAGCTTCTTCGTTAGCTAATGATAACAACTATTGTTGTTTCTTTAAATATCCAATGCTAAATCGAATAATCTTCTCATCTTGATTTTACAAAAAAAATGATCACAAGAAATCTATCATTATATTCTATATGTAAATCAATGTTCATTTCGTTTGACTATGTGTCATTTCAAACATTGACTCTTTCCATCAAATAATAGCAAAATTGAGCATGTTAAAAATATACAGATCATTGAGTAAAACATCATTCAATATGAATTCCCTCATGGTTCCACCTATCTCAATGTGCAATATCATTTTTTTTTCCACTGATGATAAATTTACCTTGTCATTAACATGTAACACACAAATTAGAAGTATGAATAGTCGTTGACAGTGTGAGTACGAATATTTAGTCATCGTCGTTCATTGTATGTTAATGATCGAATCAGTATATAGACAACAGATACTTATAAATGATAAATGAATGAATAATTCAATCAATATCTTTTTCAAATGAATACAATATTTCAAGAATCGAGTACTTACTTTTGTTGACATAAACTTATGTGAGGATTAATTCTCGTTTGGCACAAAATTCCTTGATGCAATTTTTTCCTGAATGTATATTGTTCTTTTTCGCATACGTTGTTGTGACTCAATCCGCTTTTTGACAAAAAAAAAGTCTCTAGATCATTATGTTATTTTTAATCGTTACTTCTCATTCTCATGCTTTTTCATCATACACATTTTACTTTAGACAAGAGTTTTATTTTATCCTCTGGCATTATTCTACATTTTCTAAGATCCCGTAAGATGCCTATTGGGTATAAATGTCGTTTATTCATAAGGCAAAAAAAAGGAACATATCAAGAATAAGATCAGATTTATGATGTCATTTAACTGATAAGTACTTATTATTGTGAATGATCTTAACCGGAACATTTTTCAATGACAAACTTTTATCAGAAACAAAAACACATATTTAGATCATGAGATTTATATTGAAAAAAAAAAGTTTTTTTTAATAAATAATCTGAAGCTTTTTCGAAAAACAAACACGGACTTCTACTTATATGTAGTTTTATACAGTTATCTAATATTGAAAAAACAAATTAATTTCACTTCCAGAAAAAGAACAGAACACGTAGATTCAATCTTAATATTAACGGAACAAATTAATATTCGTCAATATGACCTATTCCATACACTCAATATTTCATTGGCTAATTGATCAATGAAAAGAAAATTAAACTAAATAGATAGACCAATTTTTTTCTTCCTTCTTTCTATTTCTTCTAATGATTGGTTAAATATATTCTATGTGTTCGACACTTTATATAGGTTCACTTCATTTTCAATATTCATCAGAAAACATTGTAAATTTAAATCATGAAATTTTGGTGTGCAACAGCGAAAAGTTCCAAACAACAAGTAAGTTTACTTAAAAAGTCTTAGGGATCTACCGAGTAGATGATTCTTGTTTAAGTTTACCGAGTTTTGAGAACTAGGAAGCAATAATAAAAGTATGGAGAGAAACAAATTTTGAAGATTTGGGGTTAATTTCCTCTATCTCGGGACATCACTGTACCCTTGCCCTTCACTTGAAATAAATTTTTATTTTTTCTCAGCAAAGGTCGGTTTTGTTGATCGAAAAACTATCTTACACACCTTTACTTTTTTTCTCTTCAATACATCTTTGGTTAATCTTGAAACAATATCTAAAATGTAATAATAGATTTTTATTTTTATTGTAGAAATTTCTTAAAAAGACGACAATAAAATCGAATGATTCATTATCATCGTCTGTTTCTTATGCGACAATCTCATCAATTTCAATTCGAAAATGTGACAGTGGCTTTTCAGAAACTGCATCGTCTATACAAACTACTACATGTTTCGAACAAATTCTTGTTCTTGAAAGAACATATCATGAAAATTTAAAACAAAATATCATTAAATATTCTCGACCATTAAGACGTTATTTAAATCCTAATGAAATTGTTGATCTTTTCCAAAATATTGAAAAAGTAAATTTCAAAAAAAGAAAAAAAAAAACAACAATTTTCATATAGAATATTTTGTTTTAGATTTCAGCCATTTCACAATCAATTGTTCGTCATTGTGAAAAATTATTCGATGAGGATAACACTTTCCATGTACCAATATCAATAATTTATCAATCATGTGTAAGATTAATTCACTTAAAAACTAGAAAAAAATATTTGAAATTTTCTGTTTTGTAGCTTGACGTTATGACTGATTCATATAATACATACATATCTCGAAGTATACAAGTTCAAGCTATAATAAAACAATATTGCCATAAAATTGCATATTTTCTTCAAGTACGTATTTTGAAAAAATGATCTACATCTTAATAATCTATAAGATATGCTTTTTTCTCCTTTATAGATACCCATTGAATTAGTTATACGAGAAATAACTGAATTTATTCTATTACCTATTCGATATATTTGTACGTTAAATGATTTATTTCAATTATTTGTTATCGATTATTCAGATTTAATGAATAGTATAGATTGGAATATAATTCAAAGTAAGATTATCAAGATAAAAATAAATTTTAATGATCGATTTAATTTAGATATAAGATTTTTATCAAAACAAGCGAATAATATTCTTCATCTATTATGTCATGATGAAATATCAATATTAGAATCATCACAAGATATAACATTAGAATCAGATATATTATCAACTATTGTCCTACAACGTATAAATAAAGATCCGTGGGAATCAGTATGTTGACAAATTTCTTCGAATATTAATTCATGAAATGTGTTCTTTCCTTCTAGAAACAAATTGAATTGTTAAATTCGAAATTATTATTTACAAACATGAATCGAACTTCAAGTATCTATTTATCAAATGTTGTTCATATTGAAGAAGATTCATCAAATGCCGTATTATGTTTAATAGTTGCATCGACATATTCAGGATATTCATCAATTAAAATGATACGTGTATATATATGTTTTCCGGATAAAAATTATTATTTTATTTGGCTAAGTCATTTAACAAATGCCATTAAAAAAGCAAAAGATCAAAATTGGACAGAGAAAAATGAACTTGTAATTTAACGAAATCCATTTTTGTTTTGTGTGTTTGGTTTATATATGATTTTTAATTATAAAATAAAATAAAATTCAAATAAAAAAAAAACTTGTAGATATGACTAGGAGTATTTCATTTCGGATAATGTTTTATTTTGACAAATGATTTCAAGTATTCATAGCTTTGTAATATATTAATCATGTGGCTAGTACATTAATATATCCATAACTCAAGAAACATTTATGAATACCGTTGGTTCTCTTTTTCACATCGGAAATTTTCAGACTGTTTTGAGATTTTCTAGAAAGCAAGGTTGTCAGAGTACGTTTCATATTATTTTTTTTTTCGATACACAAACTAACTTGTGGAATAAAGTGTTGCGTAGGATTCTCAAATCCAACTGTAGAGCAGTCGGTATCACTGAAACAAATTTTTTGGAGAAGAAGTCGAGTAAAATAAAACAACCAAGTACTTTTACTTGTACATGGTGACAATTTTATTCTTCATGTGTTAAATAATTAGTTAAAATACACTACTATTTTGATTTATAGAAAAATTTGAAAAGAAAAAGTCGCTAGTAAGATATTTCCATTAACAAGTAGCACAAAAAGAAGTTTATATGTGTAGTAGTGAAAAAAAAAATTCGTACTATAAAAAGTTTTGATTTTGTAGAACTCTGAGTAGTGTCACAAATCCAAGAATTTGGAGATGACGA